GCATAATGTTTAAAATAATGTTTATAAACCATATATAAAGTTGCTTAAACGATTAGAAGAAGAAAAACAGCACCATGCATGTATGTATAGTTTAATACAAATGACCGAAAACCAATCACAAAGAGTAGGCTACTTTCTTCATTTAAAAACATGAGATACAGTGGGATGAGGAAAAACCGCCATAACGTCTTTAGACATGTTTTTTTAAAGTTGAACTTGCATTAATTTTACATGCCTTTCTAAACATGCCGCTCTCTTCGAGATGCGAGTGCAACGCTGACAGATGTCCCTCTAGAAAATGTGATAAATATGCATTCTGTGTGAACGGCTTGGTTTCAGTTTTGACGTAAACAACATCTTCTGCACACTGATGCTCTCGTTTTCCCGCAATATATGAATGAACAACGTAGCAGCGCAGCATCTAGTGGCTTCAACTGGATAGGTTAACAAAAGCATTCAAATGCAATCAATGACACATAAATCTTCATCGCATCTCGTGCGCCACTGGTAAGGCTGCCTGACGGATGAAGCAGACCTTAAATTCGAATGCAACGTTTTTGCATTCGAATGTGGATTTTTTATTTTTTATTCGACGAATATTCGAAATTCTATTTTTTGTGTGACAGCCCTACTGTATTTAAAGAGTAGTTGCTCATTTTAAGAATGTGAAAAATGAAAAGGCCAGAATGCATGGTGTGTACGCAAGGCAATTGTGTCATTAAAGTTTAAGTATAAGAATGGGTCTCCAAAGACAATAAACCAATATGAATATAGCAAAATTATAAACGTCAAGACAGACAGGCAGAGAGGTACTGGACATTTATTCCACACTCTTCCTTACTCACCTGTAATGCCACAAGTATGTTAGCAAGTGCTTGTCCGTAAGTGTCATGACAGTGAACTGCTAAAGCCTCCACGGGAACCTCTTTCTTCACGGCATCCAACATCTCTGTCATGCCACCTGGCGTGCCCACTCCGATAGTATCACCAAGTGAAATCTCATAGCAGCCCATGGAATACAGTCGCTTAGCAACCTCTGCCACTTTGTTTGGTGATACCTTCCCTTCATATGGACAACCCAGCACACATGACACATAGCTGGAAAAAACAGAGCAAGAGAGGATTTTTCAGAGATAAGAGCACTCACTGGGTTATGGAAAAAAGTCCATAATAAAAATAACCAAGAGACTGAAATGTGCAATCTGCAGGTGTCTTACCCTCTCACAGGAACTCCCTCTTGTTTGGCTGCTCTCATCACCTCCTCAAAGCGCACAAGACTCTCATCCACTGAACAGTTTATGTTCTTCTGACTGAAGAGCTCTGATGCAGCACCAAATATTGCTACCTCTTTTGCACCAGCCTTCATCTGAGATATATATATATATATATCTTACTGACGCCAAACTTTCGGACCACAGTATATAAATAAACATATTCTGTATAGCACTAGCACATGCTAGTCTGTGTTGTATTTCACTCACAGCAGCCTGGAATCCCTTCAGATTAGGGGTCAGAACGGGGTAGTTCACACCAGGTTTCTTGTGGAGGCCACGCATCACTTCCTCTTGATCAGCCATCTGTCAATCAAATGCAGCCAATCTCTCATAATTCTCTTTCTTTATAGTGTTTTATTGCATGTTGAGAGTTTGTTGATTAAATGTTTGCTGGCTTTGATGGTGTGTGCTGCATCTCACCTGAGGGACCCATTTAGGTGAAACAAAACTTGTGGCCTCAATGACAGGAAGTCCTGCTTCTGAGAGCATATCAATCAGATGGATCTTTACCTCAGTGGGAACAATGGTCTGATGGATGCAGAGTTTGTGATTAACAGAAATTATACAGCTCTTGTATTTAACTTTACATGGTTCCAAACTTTTCCATCATTTGTGATGAATGGATTAGGGGGGAAAAATCACACTCTTAATTACACAGAAATTACTAATATATATATATATATATATATATATATATAT